GACTGCGTCAGGGCCCACCCAGGCCAGCCCAGCCCAGCGCACCCAGGACCCTGTTCCCTTCCCTCCAGCCCTGCTGTGAGCAGGAACACCACTGACCTGGGATGAAAATGGCCTTCGCCTTCTCCTGGCCCAGGATGGGGTTGAGGATGGAGCAGGTCACGTTCCCAGCAGAGCTGTCTCTCACCACCAGCGAGGACTCCACGCGGTACAACCCATCAGAGTCTTGGGCATGAGCCTCAGAGAAAGCCAGGAACTTCTCTCCACTAAGGTCCCTCCACTGAACCTGGGGCTTCGGAAACCACCCGGAGGCCGTACAGGCCACGCGGACCCCATCTTCCTCTGGTCCTTCGATGCGCATTTCAGGGGCAGAGCCCACACCTGTGGGAGAGAAGCTGTGGAGCGCAGGAGGCCGCCTTATCCCAGGTGTAGGCCTGGGATGCTGGCAGCGGGACACATAGGAAGCCATTCGTCTTCCATTCGGGAGGTTCTATGGGATAAGACGCCCCCTAGTGGTGGCGGGGCTGAGGCCCCCACCGCAGGGAACCAAGGATGAATGGAGCATGTGGCTTCTTTAGGAGCTCTGAAGGTGGGGACTGTTCTTTCCAACCACTCAGGTGGAAAGACTGAGACACAGAGAAAAAAGAAGAATTTTCAAACCCCTTTTCTTGAGATGAACCCAGGAAACAAAGGACAAAACTCCAGACCAGGCCAGGAGAAATAAGATGGACTCATTATAAAAACTTTTCAACAGCGTAAGTTAAACTAAGCCACAAGGTTTATTGAAACTAAGTCTTTGTTGGACTTACTCTAGCAAGTAGGAAATATTTGAAATTAAGAGATTTATGGGTTTTGTGTTCTTGTTTTGCATTGATTACCCACGAAGTGTTCTTCATCCAAACTGATCTTATTCTCATCTTCCTGACACCAAGAGAGAGGAAATCTCCCTTGCTCAAGGATAATTGTTTCCCTGAGCTCTAAAACCCAGATGTCACCATCTGTTCTAAAGTCTGGTCCCATCAATTATCACTTTCCTTTCCTCTCCTCTCTTCTCTCCTGTCTCTTCATTCTCTGCTCCCTACTCACTCAGAAACCCACTGCTGTCAAGTCGATTTCAACTCATAGTGACCCTATAGGACAAAGTAGAACTGCCTCATAGGGTTTCCAAGGCTGTAAATCTTTAAAGAAGCAGACTGCCACATCTTTCTCCTCTGGAGCAGCTGGTGGGCTCAAACTGCTGACCTTTTGGTTTGCAGCTGAACGTTTTAACCACTGCCCCACCACGGGTCCCACTCCTCCCTGCATCATCCTTGTTGTTAATCTCTTCCTCTCCACCTACTTCTTTTCTTAAACACATAAACATGTTCAAATTTTTACATTCTCCTTCTCCCCTTCTTAGAAGAGTAAGCATTATAATCCATAAACACCTCACTGTTCTCACCTCTCACCTAGTTCTCAACCCTCAACAGTCTGACTTCTACTATCCCATTGAGTCTGTTTGTGGTGAGTTAACAAAAATCTCCTACTTGGCAGCCCAGAAGTCACCCTGCAGCACTTCTTCCTCAGTCTCCCTTCGGTGTGAGACACTGTTGACTGCATCTTGAAACAGGCTCCATCTTGGCTTGGTCACCCTCCTTTTCTGCTTGGTTTCTCACCTCTCAGATCACTCTGCTGAGCCTCTTTCCTGGACTTTTCTTCCGCACCCCCCTCCACTCCTTACAGGCAGGAGTCATTTCAGGATTTTGTCCTTGAATCTCCACTCTTCTCACGTCACACAGTCTCCCTGGCTTCTTTTTGTTCTGACCGCTTTTCATTAAATCACTTCCAAAATTATACCAATTAAGCATCTCTGTTTCCCAAATTCCCCTTCTTTATAACCGCATCCCAATGGGTTATCTTTACACGGATTCCTCTTATACACCTCAAACACAAAATTGAAGAACAGAATTCATAATTTTGCCCTCTCTGTGGTAAATTGATTACAAGTATAGCCCTGGGTCTTCACTGTCTTTACATCCACCTGCTCTTTGCCACATCACTTTGTAGTGCCCTCCCACTCTTACTCTTGCATAGGTCATGTGACTTTATTCGGCCAGTGAGAAATCAGCAAGTGTGACACAAGCAAAGGTTTGAAAACTGCTTCACCATTGAGCCCTCTACTATTTCCGTGGGAGGGACGTGCTCAGGGTAGCCTGCAGGACGATGAGACTCTAGGAACATTGCCTTGTCACCCCAGCCTTTCAGCTGAAGCTATTGAGATCAGCCAGTTGTCTCCCATTCAAGGTCCACATGGTGACCTCTTTAGCTGACAAAAAATGTATGGATGAGTCCAGTAGAGATTAGCCTAGCCCAGCCTAGATCAGTTGAACTCTATAAATGCTAAAATTAAATAAATGTTTATTGCTTTACACTGCTGAGATTTTGCGACTTATTGTTACGTAGCATTATTATGGTGGTAGGTAATTGATACATAATTATCAATATTCCTACAACTAGACAGCCAAGGCAAAACCCTGGGAATCTCTGCGGTCCCCTCTTCCCCTCCAAACTCTTATATTACCAAACATACTTGCTCAGTTAGGTCTACTTTCCCAATCTCTTTAATATCTGACCCCTACTCTCCCACCTTACTGCCTCTGCCTGAGGTCAGGCAGTCATCCTCTCTACCTCATAACTACACTCTGTGCTTTCAGCCTTTCTCCTTCACATCCGTCCTCCTCACAGCTGCCAGAGTGAGCATTCACAGCATTGGTCTGCTTAATATTTCCTCAGCTCTGCATCCAAACTCCACAACATAACACACAAAGCCTCAAGCCTTCTCTGAGATCATAGAAGACATCTGTCTTCCTCCCCAACCCCTTCTCTCAAATCCCCCCAACCTTTACCACCTGTGCCCCTCAGGTCCCACATACTCCAGTCCCAAGGACTATTTGGCTACTTGCTATTAACCACATCTTGCTCCGTGTGCCCCCTGCCTTTTCAACTTCAGTCACTCAACCTTGAGGGCTCTGTGGAAACTTGCCTGATGAACTGATGTGCCCGCTTAAGTGTCTACTCCCTAGGGCACTTTTCATGATCGCCCCAGGCAGCATTAACCAGTCCCTTCCTTGTGCAACCTATACCAGGAATGTCGCTTTGTCCAGTATGGACGCCTCTTACCATCCTGTCCCTCATTCACTCCCACCAGCCATCCATAAGGCCTCCATGTGTATCCAGAACACACCGGCCACATTCCCATCTTAGGGACTTTGCATTGGCTCTTCTTTTTGTTTGGAATTCTCATCCCCCAGATATTCACTTAGATAAATCCCTACTTTCTTCAAGCATTTACTCAGACAGCACATTCTCAATGAGGCCTAGCCCAGTCCCAGTTCCAGTCCCCATGCCCACATCCTGATCCCCTTTCCCTGTTTTACTTTATCTTTCATTCTCAGAACTTATCACCTTGTAACATCACCTATAACAGATTGTGATTTTTCTATCTCTGCATTTAGAATATGAACTCCACAGGGCAGGGATCTCTGTTTGGTTCACTGATGTATCCTAGGCACCTAGAACATGGTAGGAGCTCTACATTATTTATACTGAATAAATGAATGAACGAGCCTCCTTTTCTGCATCTATAAAATGAGAGGCTGAATTAAATTGTCCCGTAGGTTGCTCCCAACTCCAACACTCCAAGACTCTCAAAAATATAGAACAAGTCACCAACCTGCCACCTTTATCTCCAACGTAGCCCTTTCATAGAAGCGTCCCTTTCCGAACAAGCAGGTGTACTGCCCATTGTCAGAAATCCGGACCTTGTCAATGCGCACAGCAGCCTCCCCCCAGGTGAGGAAGTCCTTCACCAGGGAGGTCCTCCCTGAGTACTCTGGCATCTGCCCCTCCTTCTGCTCCCGCTGGTTCTGATAGATGAACACTGCTTCTGAGAACTTGGAACGGTACCACCGCAGCTCCATGTTCTCTGCACTCATGGCTGGTGACAGGGTGCAGGACAGCATGGTGTCCCTGCCCAGCACTGCCACAATGGGGTCTGTAGGGCCAAATACCAGGAACCTGTCTGTGGACAAAACATGAGAGTAAGAAAGCTGGAGAGACAAAGGCAGAGGGTGAGAGAATACACACTATCGGGTAAAAATTGGAGATGACCCCCAGAACCTGAAGGAATGAGCTGTGAGGACTCTGAATGCAGTGAGATATTCTGACCACAACATCATGGAGTAGAAAAGATGTCAAAGGGCCACCCTCATGTGGCTGGGCACCTGGTCCTAGGCCCTTCTGGGAAACACTCTTTAACTCCTTGGTTCTCAAGCTTGAGTGTGCTTCAGAATCACCCACAGGTTGTAAAACACAGATCTCTGGACCTCATCCCCAAAATTTCTGATTCAATAGGTCTAGGGGAGGTCCAAAATGTGCATTTCTAAGGAGATCCCCCAAGGCGTTGGTGAGTCAATGGTACAAGTCTAGCTTCCCATGTAGACAGAGCAGCTTTTGGGTCATTGTTCATATGGTCACCATGACTCAGGGCCAACTTAAAGCAGCTAATCACCACAACAACAAAGAGTTCCAGGGATGCGGATATGCTGGTTCAGGGACCACATTTTGAGAACCACAGCCCCATCTCAGGACAGGACTGAAAATTGACCAGAAGCTACCAGAAATCTGGATCTGAACTCTATTCGTTCAGCCACCACCAGGAAATTGCCCACTCCCATGCCTACCTTTCATTATTTGTGCCCGTATCTTTCTCTTACACTGAATTATATGTGCACTTAAAACCCAGAGTCAAATGTTATTTCTGTTTAAAACCTGCGCTCACTCCCATGGCTCCCAAGAGCCTCAATCACTGCTTGTTACAGAAGAAGGCACACTCGGCCTGTCACCCTCAGACTTCTGACCTGCATGGGCTACAATTTGGCTCCTCTGCAGGCAAGTCACTCTAGATTCCCAAATACCATCTTCTCTACTGCTCAACACTGGCCTGAGCCACTATTGTCTCCTCCCTGGAGGACAGCAGCAGACTGGTCTCCCCGTCTACCCTCATCCCGCTCCCACTATCTATGTTCTACATGGCAGCCAGAGTGAGCCTTTTATTGTGTGAGCCACAACATGTCAGGGCCCCACTCTGCTCAAAGCCCTGCAATGGCTCCTCAGTTCCCACCAGTGACTCACAGGCCCTATGGGGTTTTCCCCCAGTACCGCTCTGACCTCTACTCCTGCTTCCCTCCCGGTCACTCCCTCTGCTGCAACCAACACTCACCTCTTGTTGTTCTCTGAACCACCAGGCACTCTGCCAGCTGAGCACTGGCTCACACTTCCTGCAAGAACCCTCTATCCCCAGTGATCCTCATGCTCAATCCCCTCCTCTCCCAAGTCTTAGTCCACGTCTCTCTTTCTTGACCACCCTAATGAGCACTGCTGCCTGCCCACGCCACACTTCTTGTCCCCTCCCCCACCACCACCACCAACACTGCTGGTACCTGCTCTATTTCATTGTCCCATAGCACTAATCTCCTCTAACACACTGTAGTTTTTCTTGGTTTATTACTTTTAATATTCACTGCCTCCTGCTAGACTGTAAGCTCTGTGAAGACAGAGAGGCTCCGACTGTTCTGTTCATAGAGCAACACCTAAGCCACAGGAGACCCCCCATGAGCATTGGGGGAATAAAGCGAATTAATGCATGCATGCATGTTTGCTTAGAACGTTAGTAAAGCAGGGAAATGTGGGAAAGTTATTTCCCAGTATCATCTATTTGGCTCTTCTAAACATTGAAGAGGTCGTGGTGGGGCAATTGTCAGAATTTTTTATACTTATTTATGATTTAGGGATTTTTTTTTTTAATTTTTAACTACAATTAGTGAGGGCACCATAATATCCCGGGGTGGGGGGTCTCCACTATCTCCATCTCTCCTGATGGACAGAACCAGCAGCTCACCTATGGTTCCCACACACCACAGGGAGATGCAGACAGAGGGATGTGGAGCACTCACCTGTAGACCCCTTCGTGGGCAGCTGGAGGAACAGCAAGAGGGAAGTGAGACGGCAGAGCAAAGATCTGCTGAAGTCCTCCTCCATTTCTTCAGAGCTGGAGAGAGACAGGCCAGGAGTCAGGGACCCCAGACAGGAGGCAGCCCATCCACAGATCGGCCTCTGAGAGGAGCAGAACACTTCCTACTCGCTCATCGTACTAACTGGATGGTGGGCCCCACCAACACTGATACCAAGAAAAGACTGAGCCAGGCTCCTGCCAGCCATTCTGGGGAGACTCTGTGGTGTCAGACAACTGTTAAGTTGACCTGGGAACAAACCACTCCTTCCCTTCCCACCCCACTAACATGCACACCGCAACACCACTGCTCAGACATCAGGCCTGCCTTCCTCAGCACCTGTGCCCCTCAGGGAGACCTTCCCTCCATCTCCAGGACTCTTACAGCCCCTCCCTCACCCCAGGACAGAGGACCCTGGTGCAGGCCCCACAGACACAGTGGACATGCCAGCTTCTGCTGCTCCTTGTTCTGTCCTCCTTGACTGTGAACAGGGAGTCACCTGAGAAGCATCACAGACAGACGGCATCCTCAGAGAGACAGCAGCTCCCATCACAGACACCCTGCCCTGTTAAGTGTGTTTCTTTGCTTCACCTGCATTTCAACCCCTCCCTATACATCCCTTCTTCCAGTCGGGGCCTAGTCAATTCCCCACTGACACTTAATCCTCGCCCACTCTATATTTGAGGTGAGACTTCTGGCTAACAGCTAAAAGAACCCAGTTGGAGGCTAAGCAGGAGAGAAGAAAAACTGAGCCCTTGTCAAGAAAAGACCCCAAACCACCTGCTGCACGTGAGGAGAGAGGAGGCAGCATATGGTCAGGAAAGCACAGACTCAAATGCTAGGCTCTCCTCTGGGATCAGTCACTCACTGTGTGACCACCTTAGGCAGTTACTGGACCTTATCTGTCTTGGTTGCCTCATCTGCAAAATGAGGATATTAACAATAACTCCCTTGATACTCTTAGGGGTTGTAATGAGGATTACATGAATTTATATTTGTTAAAGTTACTACAGGTGATGAGAACAGGGCCTGGTCCTAGTAAGTGCTACGGAAACATCTTTAAAATAAATGAATAAAGGTGCAAGCCTCACTGGGGTCGTCCTCAGTCTTCTTAGAGCAGACTGTGCTCCAGTCCCAAACACACACACATTCTCAGCCCCCTCCTCACAGCCGACTGCTCCCTGGCTCCTCCCCGTGGCCCACAGGTGTCTACACAGCCAACTCACCTGCTTCTCCTGGTTCCAGCTTTGAAAGTCTGTGACCTCCTGGAGCATCTCTAAACTCAGCAGCTCCAGGAGGTTCAGGGCTGCAGGGACCCTGGCAGACCCCAAATCTGCCCTCAGAGTTTGTACCTGCAGTTAGCTGCTCTGGGAGCCCCAGTCCTTGCTTCTGGGTCAGACACTGTGGGACCAGGGTCCCCCATCTCTGAGAGCCAGGTGGTTCCCAGTAGCACCAAGGAAGTAGGATCGGCCTCTGTTAAAGAGATATCTGCCGAGACCCCGGCTTTCGGCCCCAACAGAGCGCTTCCAGCGAGAATAATCACCCTGTTCCCACTGGCCCTTCCACCATCTGAAAGTGAATGCTTGCAGAAAGTAGCCCAGCAGACTCTGCCCTGCCCTCTGGACAGCGCTCTCTGTTATCAAGGAGAAAGCAGCATTATCACAGCAATAAAACAGCAAAAGGGACCACACAGAGGCACAGACTCAGAAACCATTTGTTCAACCCCTCCTATCTGCCAGCTTGCTTCTGGCTTCAGGAAGTACGGACTGTATGTGGGCACAGCCATGACTAACACCCAGTTCTGTGCATAGGTCAGGAGTCCCTGGGTAGCAAAAACGGTTAAGTGTTCCACTATTAACAGAAAGGTTGGCTGTTCAAACCCACCCAGAGCCACTTGGGAAATCAGGCTTCTGCATCTCTTCCAAAATGTCACAGCCTTGAAAATACTATGGAGAGCAGTTCTACTCTGCACCACAAGGGGTTGCCATGAGTCACAAACAAGTTGACGACTGGGGGTTTTTTGGTTTATGCACAGGTCTGTGTCTACAGTCTGCTAACGCCAAGTGTTTCTGAGCCAATTGAGAAATGGAGCCACGCCCAAGCCCTTCAACAGCATCTAGTGTGATTGGTTTTCTTTGTCTTCACCCACAGGTGACCTGGGACCACCCCACAATCTGGCAACCAAGGAGTTAACACTGTGCCCATCAACAGCTTCCAGGACCTGCTCCAGGACTGTGGCCCTGCCTTTCTGAAAAGACAGCAAACTACTGATAGTTAATACTTAACATATTATTACCATATATTTTATATATTAACAGATGATATATATATTGCAGTATAATATTTTTATATCACCAATCATCTTAGGTACAGCCATTCAGTCCTCATTATCAGCCTCATTTTACAGATGAGAAAACCAAATTTCTTAGCGTTTTACAAGCACACATCCAGCAAAATCTCTATCGGCCTATGCTGCCTTTCGGGTTGTTCAAAATGACCCATTACATTTGTCTTCATTGGAGCAAGCATGGAGATAGATGCTTGATTTCTGCTCAGAAGTCAGCCTGGTGATATCACAACTGTGGGCAAGGTGAGAACTTCTGGATATACCTGAACAGATCCCCAAAGGGTCCATTTCTGCCAGTACCCACTTACGTGCGGGAAAAGCTGTTAAACCCATTTTAAACCAAAAGTAACTAATAAGACAAGTAAAAATATTATCCTCCAAATCCACATGCAATTAGAGTTGAAACACCCACCGACCCCCACCCATTTTGCCACCCCAATCCCTGCGATAAAGACCTAACAGACACTAACTAGAAAAATTTTATGAAAATACAGAGGTCAGAAAACAAAATCGTGTTGAATATCTAAGTGCCAGGAGCTGGCCTATGCAAATAAATTTTATTTCATTTCATTCTCTCAGCTGCCACTTCAGGGAGGTAGCCTTGCCCCTATGAGGGAAAGGGGTTTTCAAATCCGTCGCAATCCACTCAAAACTTCTGCAAAATTGTATAAATTTCACTGTAAATTCAACAATTTGTCAAAGGTATATTGACCATTTACGAGTTAGGCACTCTGAGGCAAATAGTTGAAGTGACACATGAGCCCTGTCATCTAGGAGCATTTAATCCAGGAACTTTCTAGAGGATGAGAGGTTAGAAGGAAGAGGAGACTGCCCTCCCTACACCACTCCCAGGCACAAGCCCAGCCCAGCTTCCAGCTCCAGACAAGCCAGCACAAAACAGGAGCTCCAGGGAACCATGGACTCTGGAATGCCCCACATGTGACCAGAAAGCTTATCTCACACTGAATCCTGGCCCACTGAGCTCCAACACTGGGAGGGGAAGCACAGAGCATAGGTTAGATTCTCTTGAAGAGCACTGGGGGGCTGGCAGGAAGGACCTCGAAAAGCACCCTTCAGTGCCCTGATGAACACAACCTCATCAGAGTCGTGTTCCCAGCTTCTGTGACAATAACCACTGTTCACGAAGACACAAATCGTGTGTCTTGCTGAACATACAAATTATCTGAATGCTAATAGGGTTAATGTTTTACTTTCCTTTGTAACAGACATGAAATACCTCTTATCTTTTAGTTGTTTCAAGTGCTTTCAAAATAGTTTCAGACAAATACCTGGACCAGAAAACAATGGTTAATGTAAAATGTATTGTGGGTTTACATGTGAAAGTTGATGGAAAAGATTCAATGCCTTTTCTCCAAGGTCCAGCCTGGTAAAAACTTATATGAGTTAGTTTATCTTGACACTCTTAAGATGCAGAGTTCACTGGGTTATCTTCCAGTATAGCAGAAATTTCTGCTCATTTTCTGGGAGAAAAAAATGAAAAGAAAATACAACCTTACACATAATTTAATGGGGTTTGTTTTAATTTAATTTTTTCTTTCTGCCCTTTCAGCCATTATAACCCCAGCTGGAGGGCTTAACTCTGACCTGGCAGCTGCTAAGAGACTCCCTGCTGGCATAGCAGGGCCCTCACTTTCCTCTGCACCATCCCACCTGCCCCTCTGAAGAGGACAGTAGCTCCCACTTGAGGCTGTGACTTCCTTAACTGAAATATCCATCCAAGAGTGGCTCAGGGACCTCCTTATGCCCCTCACTCCCTGGTGTCAGGATCGGCCCCCGCCCCACCCAGAGGTCTGTGGCAGAGCCCTCCTGGCCCATGATACTTGCCCCACCACCCTCTGAATGGGCACCAATCCTGCATCCAAAGTCTGAGATTACAGGAGAGATGAGGAGGTGTTGTTCACACCCAGTCCCAGAGACATATGGAGGTAAAAGTGTGAGGCAGGAGGGAAAATGACCTTTCATATAGAAACTCTAATTAAACTTGATTAGACTAATAAGCAACAAAAATAATGAAAAATGAAAGAAAGAGGATGGAGAGGGAAAGATAGTGTAAGAAAGAAAAGGTAAAGGAGGGAGAACAGAAGAAAAAAATGAAAGATGTGTCCTCCTGGCATTGAACTGTGCCATATCTGGGGCTGAGAGGTCAGAATGGACCACGTGTATGGTCAGGGCATCCTGAACACTCTCTCCAGTCACAGATACATCAAGTACGTGAGTTCCAGAGAGCAAGCTGGCCTGGGTACTGCCGATTATGAGTGATCCAGTCAGTGACCTGAGAAGAACTTACTGACCCTCCCAATCTAATGTAGGACAGGCCCAGCCATGGTCAAGGGTGGAACAGGCAAGGGCTGGTGGGAGGGATTTGAGGACCAAGTTATGGGGAAAGGTTGAGGACATCACCTTTTAGCCCTCTGTCCCTGAGAGAATCAGGCCTGGCCCACTGGAGACAGAAGAGTTCCTGTCCAACACTCAGAGGCAGTTCTAACAGACCCCAGGGCACCAGGCACCATTTTCCTCTCCTTTCACTTGAGCTCTGAGGCCAGGGTGTCTGCTCTCTAATGACCATTGCCAAATACTCAGGCCCGCTATTCACCATGTGCCATTTTACTCTGAAAATTGCATACTTATTTCAATTAAGGCTTATAATCTTGGGAAGCAGTTCTTACTTTCTTCATTTTACTGCTGAGAAGATAGAAGCTCAACTATATGAGGAACCCTGCACAGGGTCACACAGCCACGCGACCGAGCCCTAACAGGAGCCAGGCCCTCCCCACAGTTCAGCCAAGCTTCAAACCAGCTCACGGATGCTCCAGGGAGCCATGGGGGTGATGAGGAGTGCAGAAATCATTCACTTTTTTATTTATATAAGATTTAATCTTATCTCTTTTAATTCATTTTTATGTTCATTTTTATAACCTGTATAATGTTAGTACATATTTGGAAGCTGCAGGATCACAATGTATTACAGAAAGCAGCGCATGATCAAAAGACTTTGAAGACCTTGCTCCATACCTCTGCTCCAGAAATCCTCCCTAAAGCAGCAGCTCTCAGGGAGGGAAGCTGGCCAGAGTTAACCTGAGGGCAATAGAAAGACAGCCCCACAGGCTCACAAGGCTTTCCTCAGCCTCTGCTGACAGAAAACACTGAAGAAGGAGGGGTATGGACAATACAGAAAACTAATCAAGGAATGTGAAATGGAGTGAAGGAGACGGGATGCAAAACATCACATGCTAAACAATTCCAAATATATGACATTAAAGACTAGGCAAAACGAATCTGCAAGCTCCCTGTGGGACTTCTTTCTAGGATGCTGCTCCTCTCAGTCAATCATCAACTGCTGAGAGTGGTTCCCCTGAGACCCGTTGTCATGGACTCAATTCCAACACATGGTGACTCCATGTGTTACAGAGGAGAACTGAGTTCCATAGGATTTTCTTGTTTGTAATCTTTACAAAAATAGATGGCCAAGCCTTTCTTCCACGGCCCAACAGAGTGGGTTCCTACCACCAAACATTACCTCAAGGCGGAGTCAGCGAGCCTATCACAGACTGAACTCAGATCCAGACCTGAATCCGAGGCAGCCAGAATTCAGGAGCCCAGGACTCCCAGGCCCACTGGCCTTCAGTTCCGACCCCAGGCTGCTTCTTGCTCCCTTGATCCTCTCTGCACCCCTTCTCTCCTCACAATATCCCCCTCACTGGCCTTCTCTTCTCCTCTCTGCATTGCCCTTCACTCCTCTCTATCTCCTCACTTTCCACCACTTCACACTCCTTCCTTTTGCCCTCCCCTCCCATTAGTCCCCCATTCACCCCCTTCCTCTCACCTTGCTACGTTTTGAAGGTAAGAAGAAAAGTAAGAGCAATTATACCTGTGAAATATAAGTGTTTATCACCGTTTTACAGATGAAAAAACTGAGATTTAGAGAGTCCAAAACAGTT